TCCCCGGCCTCCCCGGGCTCCCCAGGCTCCCCAGCCTCCCCGGCCTCCCCGGCCTCCCCGGGCTCCCCAGGCTCCCCAGCCTCCCCGGCCTCCCCGGCCTCCCCGGGCTCCCCAGGCTCCCCAGCCTCCCCGGCCTCCCCGGCCTCCCCGGGCTCCCCAGGCTCCCCAGCCTCCCCGGCCTCCCCGGCCTCCCCGGGCTCCCCAGGCTCCCCAGCCTCCCCGGCCTCCCCGGCCTCCCCGGGCTCCCCAGGCTCCCCAGCCTCCCCGGCCTCCCCGGCCTCCCCGGGCTCCCCAGGCTCCCCAGCCTCCCCGGCCTCCCCGGCCTCCCCGGGCTCCCCAGGCTCCCCAGCCTCCCCGGCCTCCCCGGCCTCCCCGGGCTCCCCAGGCTCCCCAGCCTCCCCGGCCTCCCCGGCCTCCCCGGGCTCCCCAGGCTCCCCGGCCTCCCCGGCCTCCCCGGGCTCCCCAGGCTCCCCAGCTGTACCTCTGGAATGAGCATGATGTGCGAAGTGAAGCGACCTGCCGGGGATGGCAAGTCAGGACATTCCCATTAACCTTGGAGGCTTTCGAGGGCAGCAGCTGCCACGGGGCTGCAGGGCAGGGGATGGGGTGAGGGGTAGGAAGGCTGTCTGCTCAGTCGCAGGCTAATGGGCCCTCAGAAAGAGGCCCCCCAAAGGGCTCCAGCGAGGCCATCACAGTCGCTGGCCACTATGCTGCCCAAATGGCCCCACCCCAGGCCTGACCCTGTTCCTTTGCACCTCACCCCAAAGAGGCGATTCTAAGGAAAATGATGGCTTTTCCAAGCGGGAGAGGCTGATGACAGTAACAGAGCTTCATGACTCTCCAGGTGCAATGCCAAAGGTCCCCAAGCTCTGCGAATCAAAAGCTTTGTCATGTGGTGGGTGCTGCTCTGTCCCACTGTGTGGATAGCCACGCTTCACCAGACTTCAGTTGCCGTGTGTAACCTCCGCCCCTGCTGTGAGGACTGCGTAGTACCTGGTACTTTCCTACCTGAAAAATTCTGGCTTCGGAAGCACATCTGGCCTCCAGGGTTCGGGTATGGAATTCCAGGGCCGTAATAACTTATTACATCAGCCAGGTGCAGTGCTAAGAGCTTAACACAGGTGGTTTCCAGAATGCCTACAACCACCCTAGCTGCAGGTCCTCACACTCCTGGGCAGGGAGTGAGCTGCCAGAGGCTGCACAGAGGTGGCAGAGCCCGCCCGTGAACCTGGGAAGCACCATCTGGCATGGACTGAGCACAGGCAGTGGACCCCCTGTGCCAAGAGCTTTACTCATGTTCCGTATCCCAAGCCTTCAAAACAACTCCAAGAAGTAGGCTTCATTGCTCCCATTTGACAGTAAAGGAAACTGAGGCTCAGAGAGGTTGAGTCACTTGCCCAAGGTCGCAGAGCAGGTAACTGGTGGAGCTGGGGTTTGAACCCAGGCTCGTATGACTCCAGAGCCTCTGCTCTCACCACTATAGACCCCTCCCTCC